TCAACTCCTTCCATAATCCAATGCTGTTGGGGGGGAGAGCTTCGAACCACTTCATTGCAGAATCTCCCAAGCTCATGAAAAACACTCGGCAGAGGAGCTGTTGGTCCGAATGATACAGAGACATCATTTGCTTGTATTACTTGAGGTGAGCTTCGGGATCTGATCGCCCATCGTAAGTTTTAAATCTTGGCACGACGAACTTCTTTGGTACCTCCATCTCTCGGATATCCTTGATAAAAGGTGATTGCATGGTCTCGTCTTCAGCATCATCCCGAACACCTTTGAATAAACCATCTCTCAACCTTCATATAGTGTTCTCTTCTTCCCCTCTCTCAAAGAACTGACTTGATCGTCGGAGGGGATACGTCGAAAAATACTCCGGCGCCCTTCTAACTTGTTTTTCTTTGTTCCAGGAACCCCTTCAGTTTTCCAGGATCACTCAGGCGACTCATACCAACGATTGATTATCCACCTTCGACCCCCACAACCTGTTCAACTAGCAAGATCAACCACCCCAATTTTGGATACGTGTTCACCACGGGAGAGATCTGTCCTCGTGTTTATATTGTACAAGATCCTGCACGCACAGTAATAGTGGTGATGTTGGTGGCGACAAGCGGAAGTGATGGTGATTGATAATGGATAATACCACCTGAAATTAAGGGATGACTAATCCAATATTGGCGCTGTTAAGAATTCTATGATAAAAAGAAGGCATTTTTTCTTATTACCAAACTAAACTTCCAATGGTACGTTATTACATAATTTTTCATTCATTTATATGGTTTATTACTACCAATCAAATAGCGTTTATTTTTTTTATGAATATTTTTGGTCCAAAGTTAAATGAATTAATTTATAATATTAGAGTTTGGCTTGTGGCAGTGGCCGTGGTAGTGGCCCTTGGACTATTATTATTTTGACAACCGAGAATGTAAGGGTCAAGTGCGAAAGCGAAAAGGAGTGTCTAAGGGACTGCGAGGGTTGAGTGCGGAGAGCTGGATCAGGTGTGTAATGGTTCAGAGGGTGTATGGACATGATTGGCCCGACAAAAGATGAGACCTTAAGCAAAAATTATAAGTAAAAATTGAGGGTGCGTCTCCTTAGATGGATTTATAATGACTTGAGTTTTAGAAAGAAACTTATTTGGGGATAAGTCTATGTTTAAACTTATATGTAGGTATTTAAGTCCACTTATTTTTTAAATCTCAAAATTACCCTTAACGGTATTAGTTTTATTCAGTTATGAAAAATCACATAGGTTAGATCATTGAAGTATATATGAAAATACTTGATTGAGTTATATATAGAAGCCGTTTATTAATTATTATGATAATTAATGGAAGTTTTATATGAAAATTATATATTCTGATAGTTATATATGAAAGCTTGATGTACGAAGAAATCATTGATCTATTAAGTCAAAATTAGATTACAAAATTTCTTTAACAATTCAAAATTTTCTTAACATTAGTGTTAATATAGTGACACGAATATTATTATAGTAACGTGAACGAGATTGTTTTCCTTAAAATACTCAATACCTAAAATGAAGAATTCTACAATTTCAAATAGTAACACAAACCCAACCCTAATTTTTATTTTGCTCTTCACGTTTACTGTGGAATCGATTAACAAAATTACAGTTGATTTTTTGCATTCAAAACATCTTCATAACTTTGAAATTCAGAAATAGAGTTAAGGTATGTAATTTTACATGAAAGTTGATGTTCATTGCAGAGTTTTAAAAAACTTCTACATAATCTATAGTTTAAGCTGTCTTTTTTTTTTTTTTTGCATTCCTAATTTAAAAATTGAGATTCATTATTACTAAATTAAAGTGTTATATAATTCGATTTTGTTGTTATGCAAGACATTCAAAATACTTTGATTGTGTGTTTGTGAAATAGATTATGTTACTGTGTGATAACTGAAAAATAGATTTTAAAATTTAGATGTCTTGATATTCTTGATAGGTGTCGAGTGTCCTAATTCAACTGTTAACGGTGTGTTACTACTAAAAATTTTGTAAATTTTTAATTTGTGGATCGTATTTTTATTATAATCTTTCAAAAATTAATGTTACTATGAAAACTCTATTGCCTTGTATTTTGTAAAAGTCGATGTGTTATTAAGCACACACCTTTGATGTTACTATAAAAATTAAATGTGTATGTTATATAATATAAGTTTAAAGGTTTGCAATTGATAGTGAAAATGAAAATTGGGGTTGTGTTTGTGTTGATATTTAAAATGATGGAATTCTTCATTTTGGGTATTGAGTATTTTAAAGAAAACAATCTCATTCGTGTCACTATCGTAACACTAATGTTAAGAAAATTTTAAATTGTTAAGGAAATTTTGTGATCTAATTTTGACTTAATAGACCAACGATTTATTCGTACATCAAGCTTTCATGTAGAACAAAAATATAAAATTTCCGTTAATTATCATAATATTTAATAAACGGTTTCCAAATATAACTCAACCAAGGATTTTCATATTACTTCAATGATATAACCTATGTGAAGGATATAGTAAGTCAAATGTCAATTATTACTTTTCCAAAGGATAGGGGTACAATAGTAAACTTGACAAAAAGTATACTTAAAACCAAATAAATTTATTTGCCAAACTTATCTCCAAATAAGTGCATATAAGGAGATCGGCCTCCAAATTTTTCAAATTATAATTGAGGTCCTTTAAAAATTTATTATAAATATAATTTTAATATAAGACTAAATTTCATTTAAAAATTGTTATTCTCACTTTTTTTGATGTAAAATTAGTGATTAATTTTTCATATTCACATTTTGTTAGAATATCTTACTCAAGTTTTATACTTTTAATATTTGAATTCATATTTTTACAATTGACATATTGACATCTCAAAATTCTTATAAGCAAAACAAAGTGTTAAAAAAATAAATGATTATACTAAGGGAAGGTTTAATAAAAATGGAATAATAATACATGATAAATAGAGATTGTATAAATTGACTCTTTATTCATCTTTTAAATTGTCTAATAAATTATACCTTCACAAAAAAAAAGTGAATTAATTAAATATATTATAAAAATATAAAAAATAATTTATTGATGTTTATGTGTATACACAGATCATGAGAAAGAAAAGAGATTTCTTTAGTGATATGGGTAACTAAGTATACAATTTTTTTTTAATGTAGACTAATTAGTGTGTGTGAGATTTATTTGTAGGCTTTAATTATATTGCAACATTTGTTATTTTAGTGATTTGAATATTGAAAATAGACTGTTGGGCCTCTTGATTTTACTTGGGCTTTTTCTATTTTTATGAGGCCTTAGGCGGTTGCTTAGTTGGCCTACCTATTGGGTCGGCCTTGTGTACGGAGGGGTTGTGGGTCATGGTAGGGTTTTGGATTGCAAGGACGATGCTGATAGGAAGGTGAAATTCGAGTTGGAATGGGGATGATGAGTTTGCACGATCCAAAGAGATAAGAGACTCAGAGTTGTGGTGCAAGAATGAATTGGAGGTCAATTTGAGTGCCGGATATTTAATTAGCAATTTTCTAGGGCTTATTTTATGTGATTGATTTTTTAAAAAAAATATAGGAAAAATTTGAAAGTTGGGTGAGACTCCCTCTCCAAGCACCTCACATGATGCAAGGAGGAGGTGACAAGAGCTAGTGAATTCAGCCATGCAAATCATCGTTGCATGGCTAATTCTTATCTTAGAAGTCTCTGGAAGGCTTAGAGCACGGCAGAAACTGATTAGAGGGAGAGAGAGAAAATCAGGAAAAGTTCAAGCATCGTGGTGACCTTGGCTGGAGCTGAAGGATGCTATAAGGCAATGGGTTTATCTGGTAATGACTGCAAAGAAAGTGGGGCTTCTCAACATTCTGGTTTGGAATTGACAGCCAAGAAATGCAGAGATTATTTTGGGCCTTGCAGTGTAGAGAGGTGCAATAAGGCCTGTTGTAATGATCGCTGCAAATTAGCTTATGTTACACAAAATGGAGTAGGATCTTGCCAAAGTGTCCCTGGAACTGCACTCTATTTGTGCTCCTGCTATTATGATTGCTAGGTTTTCTGTTTTGTCAAATAAGATATTGAGAGAAAGATCTGTGAGTGTGTGTGCACCGTAATCTTTTGGATTGGAGAACCGTCCCAATCACCCATTCATGATTGTTACAAAACCATACACATTGGTTAAGCCTAGGTTTTACGGTGACCAAGAGACTCAAATGCAATATGTAAGGCTTTTTACCTCGTCCTCCTTCTATCAGTGAACCATCCAAGTTAGACATTTCTTACTTTGAACCTAGAGGTGGTAATCCTAATTCATTACCTATTAACTCTTCCAACTTGTACATAAATAAATGAGTTGAATATCTATTTTAATTGATGCAATTGTTAAATTGGTCGGATAATATGATTTATTTTAATTACGCGAGTTATGATGAATTATAAATATATACCCATTGGATTGAGTATTTATCTTTTTATTAAATAATACAAGTAATAAAATCAAATAAATATATTAATATATAAAAAAATGTACACACATTAATATACTAAAATACAACCACACCAGCACACACATTAACACACCCCCACCTACGGTCCATGACTTGATCCAACCCAACCATCCCCACACCCACGAGCCATGACCCATGGCCCATAGTCAACCCGACCAATTATGTGTGTGTATTTTTATTTTTTATTAAAGGCGTTTTAATTTTTATATATTAATGTTTATTTTTAGTGTATTAGTGTGTATATTTTTAAAGTATTGGCATGAGTATATATGTTTATATTTTGATGTACTAATATTTGTTCATATTGTTTTGGTGTACTAGTTTGCATATATTAATAATTTTATATGTTAATAAATTTAACCCATTCCATTATAAACCCAACCTATTATAACCCATTTAATACGTAAATAAAAAATATATTAAATTTATTTCAACTCAACCCAACCCAACCCAACCCACCCATTTGCCACCTCTATTTCCAACATTTGATAAGTGGAATTTACTTGGACATTCATAGTCCAAATCATGTCAGGAATACAAACATGTTAAGACTTTCGTCCAATATTTCTCGGAAGAGCAAATCGGGCAGCTTGATCCACAAACCACAACCATTATGTGATTATCTTTTATAACAAGGGCCCGATGCAGAGCGCTAAAATCACACGGAGGTAAAATGAAGTTCCAAGACCTGGTCCCTGCTGCCCACAGGAATGCCATTTCTGCAACAGAAGATACTCTAATGGACATTAGATATGTTTCATTTGATCCCCCAACCATTGAATATCTCCAAATCCCTTCAACATGTTCAAGGCACTGGGGATCTCCTCGAGGCAAATACTAAATATATAAACAGATGAGATGAAAAAAAACCAGGGAGAGCGCAGAGGCACTGCAAACAGGGATGAGCAAAGCTTTTAAGTGTTAAAATGCACTGAACTTCTTCATGGAACTTCACTCCTTAGGGTGTGTCCGTTTAGTCCTACGACGTGTGTGGCTGGTGTGAGAAGTACGAGCATGCTTCTTTGGCTTTTTACTGCAAAACTCAGTAAAAAAGATGTTCTAGCAAAATGCTGATATACACATCAAAACATGCCTCACGATTATATTAAAAGAGATGCTTGACAAAAGAAATTCAAAAATAACAAAGAAACTAACCGGAAAGTCCCTGATGCCATTTCAAAAAGAAAGATTAAAGGCAGAGCCATTACAAGATATGCCTACACATCATATTAATGAAATATAATCAGCTACCAGCAAGTATAAGCTGTTCAAACTACTTAATAATAAAGAATTAAAACACCTTTTACCACCCATCGTTTGATCCAATAACATATTGCCCCAACAGCTTTAAAAATCTCCTCTTTGTTATCAAAATGACACTTTTATAATTTACGTCCAAACTGACTGAAAGTGCACTGGTCTAACTGTGTTACAATTCACTATCCCACCATCTCTCAGTCACACACATATACACACGTTTATATATATATATGCGCTTAGAACTATTTAATACCACTTACCACATAGGATTGGTCTATAGCATATATGTGGTGTAGTTTGATATTGTAAGTAACATCGAGCCAGTACCAAACTCATGTTATACGATCAGGCCGTGCAATTTCATACAAACATGGTACTAATTACTATTGAACTAATTTAATCCAATCTCACCCCCTAATACCCGATCCAAACATGCCCTAAAAGTATAACAAAGTAATGCTTTACTGGATCAAACCATATGAGGTAAAATGTATCGAGCTGTAAAATAAATAAAAGTGTTCATTGATCAGATGATTTGACTTCAAAAGGAAGGGAAAGAAAAGATAATCTATAACATGCCACATAATTATACGTACCATTAACCAGACTATCTGATCAGTTGCAAGAGGTTTTGTGAGCTCGTGATCTTTCAGTGTTTGACGAATTGTAGCTTGGACCTTTACAAATGGAAGGAACATCAGGTAATGTACCAACCAATAGAAGGAATCCTACTATAGCAATGAGGACTGTGCCCAATTGTTTTCTTTTAAATTTCTATAGCAATTATTGATGTCTGGGCCAATCATTTCCCAACTGCACGCCTACGTTTTGTTGCTTTATTGATTCCTTTCACTAAATTAGAGTGACAGTGAGTTCAGGTGTAGTAAAACTTGAAATATTTAAAGGTCATTTTTCCTTTCCAGCAAAGTATGAATGTTTTACTAAAAACAAAACTTGAAATAAGCCCAGCCATAATATAGTAAAAAAGCTCGAGGTTTATATCAAAACCTTCACATTATATGACAAACTCAAGGTAAGTAAAAAAATAGATGTCTGAATAATTGAATTTAAAAACGTGGGTAAGTTATACAACGGACACTTGACCTTAAGATTTACATATGTTGCACTACACCTCTGTGATTTCAAATAACCTTCATGTTTCAACTTATAGCTAACCCCACATAGGAAGGGGAATGTAAGTTGACTAACAAAATTTTGCTAATAACACCAAGAAATGTCAAAACACCTCAACTACTGTTCTACAAGGTTTTTGATTTTTTTCCTTTGCGAGCTTTAAACCAAGAAAACAATTAGTTGAGACTCTCTTCCAAACCAACCCCCTATCCCTACTCCTACCCCCTCATGGAACCCCATCAGTCACTACTCCATTTACCTCAGCCCCTCCCTCCCATTCCTCACCCTTGGTCCCCCTCCACCACATTGTACCCTGCCCCACACAATTACCACAGCAACACAGCCACCAACCCAAACCCAGCAATAAAAAACCACGTGTCACCTCTGTCATTACCTCCATCACCTCGGGATTGGGTGGCAGTGGGTATGTGACAGGTGGGAGGTATTTCTGGATAGAAGGGGCAGAGGAAATAGAGCTTGTGGTTGGATTTAAGAGGGTAAAAGGATCATTCCAATATTTATGTTATCTCCGTTAGTTGACTATAGTTGACTGGGAGTAATAGTAATTTCCAAACCACAAGGGATGGAATTTAATCTAGCTTAATTTTTAGAGTGATTTGTAGGATTATGACCGACATCCTTGACAATGTTCTCCACAAATCAGAGCAAGAATCAGAGATAGAGTAGGTACCAATGCTGTCAGAACCATGATTACCACAATTCACTAAACTTTTAGCGACCCACGATCTGAGTACATCGATCCGAAACGTGGTAGGTTCGCGATCTAAATCACTAAAATTGACGACCCAAAATTGCAATACTAACCCTAAATCAATTCGCTTTAAAACATGTAGCACAAATATAAAATACATATTAATTGACTACATGTGTATAGATTTATAATTATATATTGTTTTAGATAATAGAAAATCATGCACAATTATAAGATAAATGGTAACTAATTTAGTGTTTATGAATGTTTTGTAATATATAATGTTATATAGTAGTGAAAACGATCTATATAAGAGTTCCAAAACGAATTGCAACCCAAAATACCGTACCAGCTAAACCTACCCCCATCTCACCACATACATAAAAAAGTGTTGTACCATGTACCCGTACCTGTACCACGTACTAAATCAACCCACGATCCAGGTAATATTGGTCAGAACAAAGTAAATATGCAATTGATACCTGACGATGGTACATGATGAAAGTTTTCGTGAACTTTCTGTAAGTACGAAGTACTTTCTTTGTGTAGGGCTTCAAGACAACATGGGCTTTATCAACATGGGGTTTCATCAACATTGAAACTTGATCAATGTATGGCTTTGTGAACTTCTTGGTTTCCTGTCATGACATGAAGTTATGTCAGCAGAGGAATTATAAGCCACAAGATCTGACATGAATTTGGTTGAACATACGGTAATATACCTGAATGTGTGGCTCCATCATATTTTGTACTTTGACAAAATGAGAACCGAGAGATTTCTTGGACTTATGGTAAATGTCGATGGTTTTAACAGTAAGAGATTCCACACATGGCCCAATGTTAGTTAGAAAGGCAAACCATTGTTCCTTGATGATTGGGATCCATTTCTTCAAAACAACATAACAAAAAATCAGAAAATCATCCCATTATAATATTAACAAACATATCCATTTTAAAAAGGAAGAGAATATTTTGGAGAATATTAACAACAGTTATGACAACAATGATTCAGATGAATAAGGAAGCTCCTAGAACTAGGTCAATCGGTAGCATCTAAAATCATGGAACATTAAGAAACGCAAAAACTACTCTAAAGCACAATAGACAGGATCATCAGAGTAACCTACTGTTGTGAATGTATCAACGTGAGGCTCCAACCATCTCTCAACTTGAGCTTTTTTTTTCAATGCCTGAAGAACAGTTAAATTGAAGAAGAGTCGACCAATATTAAATGTATAAAGGATCTCTGCAGTGACATAGCATGCTTGTTCAAGGGTTAAATTTTAATCAATAAAACGGTAGCTCTGTCAAAAAAGAAAAGTAAGACCATTTCAATCGTCACATCCAAGGCTGGTCTCCCACGCACATTCCATTGGGTCACTATGAAGGACTGCAAGTGATGACAAACAGTCAAGAAAAGTAGACCTGTCTCAATATTGTCAATGCAGAGGATAAAAATTTACCTGACAATGAACTAAATGGACTGCAAGCCAAGCTGGAAGCCATGCTTCCTGAACCTGAGAGTTCACATAAATCAAAGCTAATTTGTCAAAACTGCAAAAATACATAGTCAAGGAATTGTTTCCATGCAGAATGCTGCAACATTAACAGAGTCACAATTTATCTTTCTTTTCCTACACTTTTGTTCTCTCTGTAATTATTTTCTTTGGGGTTCAGGAACGTGGGATATAGGTAGGGAAGATGGGAACAAGAAATGAAGAGGTCAGCCAAACATGTCATTCTGTTGACGAAAGTTATTTGAATGCCGATGAGTAGCGGCATCAACCCAACTACCACTTCTGGTTCTGGACATGAACCCATAGCTAGGCCTCCCCATCTAAAAGAAAGATTAACCGAGGAGCAACCTCGTCTTTTCTCTCATAAAAAAATGGAGGTGAAGTGTGAGAGTTTACCCCTGTTAGTTCTTTAGCTGTATAACTGGCCTCCAATTTAGCTTTCATCAATTCTTCCTGAACACATCAATAAATAGCATCGTCATCTGGTATGAAGAAACTTTATAACACTTCACAGAAATCAAGCTGCAACAAACCTCCGCCACTTGAAGAGCACGTTCAGTTCTACGAATTCTGGCCTTCTGGTCATAATTAATCCTCTGGAGCTGGAAAAGGAAGAAAGAACAAAGTGATATTAGCAATAAAATGTCAAATGGTGCTACTCCATTGCTATGAGACAAACATTGACACAGCAAAAATGCAATGAAACATAAGATCAGGACAGCTAGAAATTTGAGTAGCAGCAAAACTACTCCAAAGCTACATTACTCTTTAACTAATCATTGTTGTCCCAGATACTTAAGGTAACTAACCAATACTGGTATAATAAAATAGAACTTGAAAAAAAGTAGCTCGAAAAAAGTTGATTTCTCAAAACTTCTAATGTAAACCTTAGGGATACTGGAGCTCAGGCACAATTACTTACCCAAGTATTAATCCTACAAATTCATATAGAGGTTATTTGTTTGAAGTTCAAAGATCAGAAAGAATGTTAGATTGAGTCAGCATAATAGAGTAGTTCTACTGGAAATGACATCATAAAAGCTTTTCAAAGACATATCATATGCATTTTAAATTTTATTGTTTCATTCTTCCTTACAAAAGGAGTAAAATTGTAATAATGGTCATCAAATACAAGTATCATCCAAGATAATCACAATTTTACACCAATAACCCTTTTGGTTCTTTAAACTTTAGCCCCATTTGCTTTCTAACATACAAGTTCCCCCACCCCAATACCAATAGCTCATACCATACTTGCTAAAACCCTAATCTTGCGATAAACTGTATCATGCACCATACATACACTTTCAAGGTTTAAATTCAATTCCTTGATTTTATCCTCAGATAAAACAGCTTTGGCTTCTAACTCGCCTTTTTTCTTCTCCTGTGTTTCTATATCTTGATTAAGGTTGCGAACCTGCAAAACAGCGTAATATCAGAGGAATGAAACCCTTACAAGTACTTTCTGTCAATGCACATTCATAAATAGCTAACCTGCTTCTGCAGTTCACCAGCGTGTGCATGAAACTTTGCCACCTGCTCATTAGCATCTAAAGATCCTTTTTTCTGGCAAAATAACTGATTCTTGTCAGATTGACTGTACATCTCATTCCATTGGTTCGGAAGAGAAAATAAAAGTTCATTGCTTCCAAGTGAAATTCTGCCTCTACAATCCCGTTTGGTAGAGTCCTTTGCACTTTTTGTTTACAAAGTACTGTACATAGGCATAGGTCTGCTTCCAGGCGCACACATATGCAACATACACACCCAGAGACATAATGCATATTATTGCATGCAAATTTCTCCGAGAAGGAAAATACAGATCACAAAACAAAAAGAAAACAAGGACATGGACACTAGCAAAATTAACAATGAAGGTATTTGATGAAACATGAAGTCAATTGTTAATAACATTGTTATATTTCTTCACCAAACAATAGTGATCAATACGAAATATAACATACAATTAGTGTTGTAAAAGACAGATCCAGTGTCTATCCAACTGATTAAACTACAGTACTGCTTATATTTACTAATGCAAACTAAAGGTAATCTCTTTATCAGAAATTGAAAATTTTTCTAACTCCTCACCTGAAGTGATTGTATTTCACTCTGCAGTGAAGTCAATGTAGTTGATCTCTCTTGAATCATCTGCTCCAGCTCTTTAATGCTCTCATCTTTGCTTTGTAATTCGTGGATTCTCTCATAGATGTTGGATTCTTAAAAGCATTACAAAAAAAGGGAAGAGGTACAAAAATTAATTCAAAAAGCTTCAGAAAAACCATCAAGTCTACTAGCCAAAAGCAATATATGTGTGAAAACTAAAAATTCCTCAAATGAGGCATCATAGAAGTCTTAATAGGAATGGGATTCTCTCAAACTAGGCCAAGTAATTTAAGGTAGTTAATCCAATCTTGAGACATCAACATCTGAAACAATATTATCTAGTCAATCTCAGCTAATCAGCGAAATGTACAAAAAGTAGTCCGCAACTGATGATCATTGACAAAGGCAGTCACATAGTCTCCAAGACCAGAAACATTAACCACTCAAAGAAGTAGTTCAGCTGGGAAAAAAGAAGTCACTGTATAGTATATAATAACAATTTTTAAACATGCTTGATTAGGGATATAAATGGACCGAAGCGGGAGCGAGGGGTATAGTCTTCATCCCCGTAACCGTGTAAAAAACCTTCGTCTATCCCCGGTCCACCCCCATTAACTGGTATAATTTTCATCCTCGTCCCCGTCCCCGCTTCCCCCACACCCGCCCAAGCCTAAGCCCAAGTTAAAGCCAACATAATCCAAAACTTTAAATAAATTTAATATTTTAAATAATTCAACAACATTCTAAATAATCTAACATAATCTAATACAACATAATGTAGCATAACGTATTCTAACATAACACAAACAACAAATGTCCAAAAAATTACTGAATTTGATATAATTCAACATAACATAACATAACATTACACAAACAACGTAATGGGAAAACTGAAGCTAAATAAGCATGATTGTTTATCATATTAATACCTATAAATACCTGTTAATACTCACAAAGTTAATACCTATAAAAATTTAGCCTGGGCCAGCAAATAAAAATAAACTAAAACTAAAAAAGCATGATTGTTTATAAGAACAACAATGGTCAATAGGTAAACAAAGGTGCATGGTAAATCATAACACAACTCACAAAGTTAATACCTATTACTCATACCCTTGGAGCAATTATATCAATACAAGGGATACTGTAAGTACATAAAAAATAGAAAACAAAGATAACTGAATTCCCTTGATATAGATTTCAACCTTGCGCAAGTTCAAACCACGGTCAAACCTAAAACATCAATTCATCAATCACCACTCCAAGGTCAAACCACGACAGATTAAACCTGAACAGGTATAGCGGGGACAGTATGGGGTGGGCCGGTTCATTCCAGCCTTCATCCCCGCACGGGTTTATACGGGTATCCCATACATATTTATCATCCAATACGTATAGTCTATTCCCCGTCCAAACGGGACGGGTTTGGATGAATACCTGTTTTTTCCCGGTCGAATGCCATCCCTATGCTTGATCTAGTAGTAAAATAATAAAAATAAAAGCCAATTTGTACAAAATTTGGCTAGATTATAAATTTATCTACTGGAACTATTTTGGAGGAGACGGTAGACAAGCTTTTTCAATCTTAAGAACCACCATTTGTTCATATTCATAAAACAGTTCTTTCTTCCTCTCATTGTTTGACAATTACACATAGACACTGTTTGATGTTGGAAAATCTTCTCTCAACCCAATGATTGGATTCAAAGAAAAAATGGAAAATCAAAATGACAAAGTAAATGTCAAGATCTTGAATCTTTTATCAGTTTCCTGTGGCCGGGTGGGGGAGGGGCTGCACACACACCAGTTCCATAGAGTAAGCTGTACTATACTAGCAACTACTGGGCAATGTGCATGAAATGTTAGCATTCTCAACTCCTAAAAACAAACGCGCGCACGCACGCACGCACGCACACACACACACAACCAAAGGTCTCCTAGACCAAGAAGTTGTAGCTCATAACTTGCATGTTGTTTTAGCATTCTTGCCTCCTAAGTCACACAGACACGACAAAAAGCTCTACTAGACCAAGAAGCCATATAACTTACATGGACTTCTACCATTCTGGGCTCCTATGTAAAATAGACAGACTCACATACACATAGATCCAATACACCAAGAAGCTGTATCAAGTAAAGTGCATGGGGTTCTGGCATTCTCGGCACCTAAATCACACACATGAATGCTGGCATAGCCTTTGGGCGCGTCAAATCCATGTCTTGGAAGGCTTAATTTGAACAAATAATGGGACTAATTCTGATTGAAATTCGTATTCCAGTTAATGATTCCACGCTTTCAAACACTGCCAACGAGATTAAAACTATGCGACTGTGTCAACCAAACTTCCGCACGAAAACTTAATTGAAAAGACAATGCCTATTCTTTTTTCGTTCAAACATACGAAAACATAAATCAACAAACCCCCTATTTTTATTATTTTTTTTAATTTTCCCAATTCCACACAATTCAAATTCAATACTTTAATTTAATTTTCTTTTCCTACATTCTTTCAAGCAGCAAAACAGAAAACAACGAACATAAACTAATTTGTATCTGCGTGTTCGTTCACATGAAGAGAGAGAGAGAGAGAGAAACCTAGAAATGAAATTTTTGACTTGAGTTGGTGAAGTTCGGCGTTGAGAGAGGAATCTGGGACCCCCGGTTTGAAAACGACGTCGATGTCGTCGTCGCTGGTTTCTGAATCTGAGGCTTCGGCTGTAAGTTTTGTGATAATTAGGGCTAAAAATAATACGAAGAAGAGCTTTGAGACAGCCATTCGAGTCAGAAACCAACTGGATCAGAATTGGTTTCTGATATCTCAGTATCCAGAGATGTGTGAGTGCGTGAGAAGAGAGAAGAGAGAAGACCTTTCGTTACTGGTATTTATACAAACGCTGGACTTGGAGCGTTGGTATTTAACTCTTAAGTGATCTCTATTGTTTCTTTTTTTTGGAGAATCATACTTTATACCCTGAAATATTAAGCAATTCTCAATTTAGATCTTGTATGATTAATTTTTTTATATTACATCATCAATATCATAAAATGATTATAATGTGATTTTCGCACTAATTTTTGTTGTAATTTCTATTAAATATTCTATATGAGATTTGATAAAAAATGATAAGAGAAGCTAATGTGAAGGTCACTTTATAATTATTTTATGACATCGGGGGTAAAATATCAAAAATTAATTATTGAGGGTACATATTAAATTTTTTAATTTTTTTGAGGAATAAAGTGAGATTTACTCCTTTCTTTGTTTTTCCGGTCACCCGAAAAAGGGAAAATTGATGATTTAATTTCGTGCTGGTCAAGGGAAGGTGGGAGACCCATAAGGGCGGCTCAAAATATAAGCTAATATATTTTGAGGCCTAAAACGAAAATAATAATTTTTTTTAGTATTAAAAGTATATTTAATTTTTAACTTTTTGAGATATAAAAATATTAATTAAAATTTTATATTTAAATTTTTATTATCATATTTGAACTTGATGGTAAAAGAGAGAAAGGGGGAGGGAGGCATATAATAATTAAATAATTATAATGGTAAATTTGAAATCGATTTTTTTGGGAGATTAAGTCTTATTTTTTTTGGAATTTTTGTTTTACTTGTTAGTTTTTTTTCCTTAAAAAGATTGAATTTTAGAATCTTTTAATTTCATAGGATAAATTAATAAGTCCAATCTATTCAAGTTAAAATATTTGTTTGAGTTTAAATCTAAGCTATTTATTGGCCCTATTTCTTATGAATTCAAATTTTTTGTTTGAACTATTACTATATATTTATAAAGGGTAAATTGTAAGGGGTACACCAAATTAGACTTATTTGACAAAAAGTATACACTAAAAAATATAGGGTTATTAAGTATTTAATTTTGATTCTTATTTGTATCCAAATGCATAATTTGAATTTATTTATTTTTATGGTGACATTTTCACCCTCCATTAATCCATGTATATTTAATGCACCACTTTTCAAGAACTTTAATACACACACACACACACACACACACATATATATATATAAATACTTATGTATGTTTGTATGTATATATTTGTTGTTAAATCTCATACCTAAATTTTGAATTATCTTTTAATGCACTTTGATTCATGCATTTTTTTTTTAGAAAATAATTTTATTTTCAAATTAATTTAATATCCGAATAGTGTAATAGTGTAACAATAATAGTGTAACAATAAAAGTGTAACAGTGTAACACTAACAATGTAACATTAACTACTGAACACTGTCTTTGTTACAGTGTTTTTGTTATACTGTTATTGTTATACTATTACATTATTTGGATATTAAATTAATTTAAAAATAAAACTATTTTTCAAAAAAAAAAAACACTTGAATTAAGGTGCATTAAATATAATTTGAAAACAAAATCACTTTTAAAAAAAAAATACGCATGAATCAAGGTGCATTAAAGATAATTCAAAATTTAAATAAGAAATTTAACAACAATATATATATATATATATATATATATATATATATATATATATATACGTGTATACTAAATAAATAAGTATATATATTCATATATATATAAACATGTATTAACAAATACACATGAATGAAGGTGCATTAAATACGTATTTATATATATATTAACAAATACACATGAATCAAGGTGCATTAAAGATAAGAGATTTTGAATTAAATGACCCTAAAATGAGCATTTATGTATTTTTAACTCACATTTTGTTCTATATACTTTTTACCAAATAAGTCTAATTAGGTATACTGACTTCCAAAAAATCCTTTATAAATTATGAAAACTTTCATAAAATTGGGCTTAAAGTCCAAGTTTTATTGGTCTAATGATTTTTTTTTTGAAGGGGTAGGGGCAGGTAGGAACCAATAAGACCACTAGTGCTACCATTGGTTTGAATGTCTCGCGGATCTTTGGCATTAAATCAACTAATACAAGGCCCTAGTAAAGTGGTAATATACTAAAAATTATAATTTTTTGATCTACATGTTAAAATTACAAGCGACACAATCGATTTTCAAGTTTCATGATCGATATTTAAAGTTATAATTTTTAAAAATTAAATTATAATTTTTAAAATTGATCATAAATAATCTCAAACATTTGTAATTTTACATTTAAAAGTTATAATTTAACCATAAAAGATAATAACTTTTGGTATGTCACCAAAAAATTTCTTAGACACCAAAAATTTAAATTTTGTGTTTTTTGAACAGGCGGTTGTCTCAAGTGTCATTTGTCAGTGTTGACGACCTTTTTTAACTCTAGTTGACCGGTCAAAATCAAATCAAAAAAGGCACCTAGATATCCTAAGTTGACTAGTCTCTCTCATCCTTCCTCAACCTTAGACTAAGCGCTGTTTGATAACACTATTGCTGATTTCAACCCCGAATTAGGTTTGGAATAGATTTGATCCCATGATTTTTCATCCTAGGTTGGCCTTTACATGTTAAAACCGCAGACACAAGACCTCTAGGTCAATTTACGATTTACATAGACATTGTCCTATGCAGTCTCATCATTGGTTTGAAGATATAATCTTTATAGCCTTCCACCAATTTAACCCTTATAAAACAAAGTAAGTAATGTTGTCCTAGATAACAGCACTTAGGGTTGGGACCTTGACTTGTTAGAAAAGACCTTTATATGTATTTTTGTTATTTTCTCCTGATAATGATACATTAACTATAATGACAAATAACATGCGCAAAAGTATACAAAATGAGTACGAACAATCACAATCATACGATTACAATTCCATCAATCATGGGAATTTTTTTAATTAATAAGTACGAGACTATATAAATCTTAAATTTCATAACCTTGAACCCTTTCATAATGAAATCTGGGGGCTGTGCTGTCATTTGCATGGCATTACATGAAAAGAAGAGAGCCCAACGTAGCCAAGCGACAAATTGCCGACAAAGTGATACAAGTTCACGACATGCTCATCACTCGAAAGAATGCCGGCAATTCATCCTTGGCTTCTTTGCACTCTCTTCCGTTTCAGGCAATGCCTTGAAACAATCTCTAACCTTAATCTTTGTATTGCTGTAGGTTTCCACTGAAAATAAGTAGCAGTGTAGTTGGGATATATATAGGGCAGGTAAAGTTGACGAATGCATGCACTTGAGCACTTGAGAAAAATAGGGTAGTAGAGAAGTGGGAAAAAATATTGGGTGTAACTGTTATACCATGTCGTCATGCTGACATCGAATAATCATCCAATAATAAGATAACATATGAATATGCGATTTCACATATTCTAGTAATTACTCTATCAAGTTATTTAATAACCATCTAAATAGAGTTCACCGTGCTTATTTATAGGTCAATGATGACATAATATCACTACTACGTCCAATATTTTCTCGAGGAGTGGGAATGGATATATATTCTTAGAACTGACTAAGTTTTTAGAATAGCATGTGACTGCCATTCTATTCGAAGCTTGTGGCTAAATGGCTCAACATGGGCGCCATTAATATTCTTCTTTCATCCAAAAGCTTTCTTCAGTTGGTCAGATCAACATTATATTTGTGGTCCCAGCTAAAGATTTGGAATGGTTGACATTGTTAGGACTGTTGGCTTATGGCAGGAATATAGAATCTAGAGAGAGAAAGAGGTTTTTTTTTGGGGAGGGGGGGACTTAGTGTTAGAATTTAAGTATTTCAAAGCTTTCTTCTTAAATAGCTCGAATATGTTAATATTTATTTTCTAGTAATGCTACGTTGATTAAATTTTAGAACCAAATTAAGATCTCAAATGACATGATAACTGACTTGAACTTATTTATTTGGTGTCATGTCATTTGGACCTCAATAAAGACTCTAAATAATATGTTGTCACGTCATTTGGACTCTTAATTTGATCATAAAATTTGGACAGCGTAGCATCACTGTTTCTTTTCACCTGCTACACAACCACCATGATTTTCAACTGTTATTACGTCTTCATCCTCCCCACAACAGCTCGAATGGCCCGAGCAACCATGGTTGTGTGCACTGCCTAATTCTATATCCTCAATGATCATGTCACATTTTTCCCATGTTTTGCCAATTGTAGCTGATTATTATGTGAACAATGACCATGCTTGTTAGCTATGTCTGAGCTCTTATCATTTGCGTGTGATCTTGAACTGGAAGGGACAGAATGACACCTTGATCCCACACATCTTGGAAGAGTAGCTTTGAGGCTCATACTTCTTTTGAGCTTCAATAGAACAACAATGTTATTTGTTGTGGGAGTAGTGGCCACCATCAGTTTTGCATCCATGTTTGTGGCCATGCAGCATAGCAAAGGATTTGTAGCATTTGTTTTTGATATTGTGGTGTTCCTCGTAAAAGTAGCATGCTGTTTAAGATTACTAGCAAGCAACATCAGCCAGAACTGTTGTCTAAACTATAGGGTGGCTTGCAATGGCCATTGTCAGTATGGCACCCTTGGTAGTAACTGATAAAATCATATTCTCAATCATTTTTTGGTAGGTTCTTCTTGCAAGTCGAGCTGCCTTGGGTGTCTTCTATATGTCATTTGACATGAGAATCACTTGCCCTGTCATAGTTTCAAGGGCCGAAGAACCTCTGCTACGAAAACAGATGTTGGTATGAAATAATCGTGTATATTGGCGCTTTCATTTTGGAGTAATACTACAATGACTAAATTTTGGGATCAAATTTAGAACTCAAATGATATGACGGTTGACTTAAACTTTTTTATTTGGTGTCATATCATTTGGACCCCAATAAAGACTCCAAATCAGTTTTGCATCCATGTTTGTGGCCATGCAGCACAACAAAGGATTTGTAGCATTTTTTTTTGATATTGCGGTGTTCCTCGTAAAAGTAGCATGTTGTTTAAGATTACTAGCAAGCAACATCAGCCAGAACTGTTGTCTAAACTATAGGGTGGCCTGTAATGGCCATTGCCAATATGGCTCCCTTGGTAGTAACTGATAAAATCATATTCTCAATCACTTTTTGACGGGTTCTTCTTGCAAGTCGGGCTGCCTTTGGTGTCTTCTATATGTCATTTGACATGAGAATCACTTGCCTTATCATAGTTTCAAGGGCCGAAGAACCTCTGCTACGAAAACAGATGTTGGTATGAAATTATCGTGTATCGTGTATATTGGCGCTTTCATTTTGGAGTAATACTACAATGACTAAATTTTGGGATCAAATTTAGAACTCAAATGATATGACGGTTGACTTGAACTTTTTTATTTGGTGTCATGTCATTTGAACTCCAATAAAGACTCCAAATAATATACTATCATGTCATTTGAGCTCTAGATTTGATCCTAAAATTTGATCAGTGTAACATTACTTTTCATTTTGAAAGACAATTGCTCCACCACTTTAATTTTGTGGGGAGTCCCATTTTGTTTTCATGTATTTGGTGGTAAGTCACCACCTTGCTTTTGCTTTCTCTCATTTTGTACTTCTGGAGATTTGGTTCTTTGTCCTCCTCCCTTGTATTGTTCTTCCTTTTACTTATATATATAGGTAGGGGTCCTGCCAAACCTCTCACCCACAATTGGTGGCTTTGGGAAAAAAAAAAACGCGTCCTTCTGATGAATATAGTTGACGCTGATAAACACTTTTGTTCAGGACGGCTCAAGGTAATTTGAGGCCTAAAATAGTAATATTAAATGAGGCAATTTTATTTTTAGCATTATTTTAAAAAAAAATAAAAAAATAATTTTTTTTAAGTGAGAGAGGAGGATGTGATACTTTATTTTTGTTTTTTAAGAGAGAGAATGGATGTGAGTAAATATGAGTTGAGTTTTGAATATTTTTTTATTTATTTTTATAATTTTTTATTTTTGAGTTTATAATGTTATGAATTGAATTATAGGCTCAAATTATTGAAATTATAATTTTTGGATTCGATTTAAATTTTTAGAGTCTTTTTATAAAGTCTAAAATTTTCATGGATTTAAATTCTTTACGTGGACTAGTTATGTATTTAAAATTATGGGGCCTTTCAAAAATTTGGGGTCTAAAACCCACACTTTTTATTTTTTAATGTTGTTGGGCCGGCCTTACTTTTGTCTTGCACTTATCCCTATCCAACGTAGGCACTCGGAGAGTAACCCGACGTCTCTCTTTACATACTCTATCATAAACCCATTAGTAATGCCATACTGATCAAATTTTGGGACTAAATTTAAAGTTCAAATGACATGACAGTTGATTTGAGTTTCTTTTTTTGATGTCATGTCATTTGGGCCACAATACTGTAAACCTATATATCAGCTTTATTGCTACGCACATAATCCTGCATAGTTGTGAAGTATGGTATACTATAGAGCATTGGTTCTTCAAGATTGAACAAAACCAACCGATTAAGCTAATCAACTTCATTAAATAGGCTATGTTTGTGACGCCCCTAAAACCACAGGTCATTAATTTACCGTTAACCACCCGTCAACCCGCAAAAAGACTCATGAGTGTCGCTTGATTCAACATCACGCTAATATTATTTCATTATCCGAATTTTAACTCACACATGTAACCCGTGTTCCTTTAATCATTTAATCCAACCAAGGTCCAATATACCTCATGTAATGTTCATTTGTATCATTAGAACCAAGGAAAACAAAGTCCAAAAATATGACACTTTAGTTTTAAATTTTAAATTTTTGGAGACAGTACCGGTATGATTTGCCTTATAAACAGATAGTACCGGTACTCTTTGTCTTCTGGATAGATATTATCGGTAGTCTTTGGACAGACAATACCGATAAGTACCTGTACGCTCTATTCTCTGGACCCAACAATACTGGTACTCTTTGTTCAATTTTTCCTGTTTCACCCCTTTTTTGATTTCCAATGCATTCCAAACCATCCCATTTTCATCCAAAAACATGCATAATGGAGTTTTCCGCATAAACCTCATTCATACAAGTCTATTTCAACATTTTACATGTATTTACATGCCAAAGCGTAGTTTTAACAAAGATTTTTACAAAGCCTTGTTTTCAAAAGTCACAACCCGACTTTTCTTCATAGTTGAGGCCCTAAATGCGAGTCCTCTACCAGTACGAACTCCGCACCTAAAATGTGTTCTCGTATAGGGTGAGCCAACGCCCAATAAATTATTTCCTACAAAAGCTACTCCCCTTCTAGATGAATATGAAATGTACACATGCAACCAATGAAAACCAATATCCATTCCAACAAGAACTTGTAACTCAATGTTGAAAAAATCATAACGCCATGCCATGAAATGAGATAAGACTCACTGATTAACCCTAATTAAGACATAATTTAATAGGTAAATTGTGTTAGTTGAATAAAGTTAAACTAGTCAAAATAAATCAAATTAGAATTAGTGTGTGAATAAAGGATAATGCATTAATTGTTGTTCTTTTCAGGATTTTGTGCGTCAAAACTACAAACTACTGGGGAGCCAATTACATTAAAGCTACAAACTACTGAGGTGCCAATTATCAAAACTCAAAACAAAGGAGGATCAAAGAATTCAAGGCCACCTAACAAGATTTTCAAGTCTACCTAACAAGATTTTCAAGTCCACCTAACAAGATTCAAAGTCACCTAACAATATTTTCAAGTCCACATAACAAGACTCTTCAAGTCCACCTAACAAGATTCAAGGCCACCTAACAAGACTTTCACCCTCCCTTATTGCCTATAAATACCACCCCTTAGGACTTGTAAAACATTCATCTTTTGGTAGTGGAAAACCCTCCAAAAGTATTATTGCTTTCCTTATTGCTTATAGCTTTCTTTAAGTATTGCTTTCTTTTATTGTATTCTTGCTTCCTTTTAATTTATTGCTTTCTTTTACTTTAAATATGCTTTCTTTTATTGTGTTATTGCTTTCTTTTACTTCCATTGCTTGAGCTTCCTTCTTCCCTTAGAGGAGTAAAACTCTTCCACTTTTCTTGAGCTTTACCAAAACCGTGAAGGGTGGAACGTGATTCACTCATTCTTTGTCGAAGATTAGCTCATTGTGTAAAATGTGTTATCTTGTAACTCCTCTACTTGGAGGGATGAGCATCACTCACTTTTCTAGTTTTAACAAAGCTATGAAGAGTGAGTAGTTTCTCATCCAATTTTTAGTAAGAGGTGGTTATTCGGAAGTTAAATTTATGCAATTCGTTTATGCTTAGTTTTAGTCTTTATTTTTTTTTATAATGTCTTCTCATCATATTGTTGTCTTTATTTTAAGCATGAATAGCTAAATCTCTTAGTTGACAAAACCAAGAGGAACCTCCACTTGGGTATACCATTTCAACTCATTCTCCTTCCCTCTTTTCAGAGTTCAATGGTTCGGTTTGACTGGGTTGAGGGTGGATAACTTGATGAGTCTTTGATATTCCGTAGGCCTAGTCACGGTTTATACTTAGATACTCACCAATCTTACCCCTAGCTTCCCACGAATCAATCGTTCATTCATGCTCTATTGGAGGAGGGTTTTGAGTTGAGACGGTATTCCTATTGGAGTGACCTCTTAGATTTGCCAACATTTGTTTCTCATTTTACTAGCATCAGAACAACTTCACCAAACAACTTCCAACAATCAAAGATTTTACACTTTCTTTCTCCCAAAATCACCTTCCCCTCGGTTTACTTCCTTCCCCGTAGAAACGACCTTGGAATACCACCAAGTAAAACACGATCCGCGAAAGTCTCCTTGCGCTTGGGGAACACTTTTGTTCACACATACTCACATTTGAAATCTCATTCATCCACCATTTCGTTGCCCTTTCTTTTGACATCATCCCTAGGAGAGTGACACTCCCCTTTATTTATATACTATACATGTTAAAAGGTGATGTTTATAGGTTAGGAAACAACAAGAAATTTGTCAAGCATTTTTGGCACCGTTGTCAAGGAAGGCAAGTGTCAAACCAAGAAGGTGATTTTTGGACGACGGAGGTAAGTCCCCTGATCTTCATCATGGGCTGAGGTACGTTGTTCCGTGTACATAATCTTATTTGTGTATAACTTTGTTTGTATATATTTTGCTTTATGTGGAGGCGAAACGATCGAAACCGACTTGTTAGACAAAACTTGGCCCCTACCATGAATATTGACCAAGAATAACCCGAGGATGCGGGTGACAATTTTGACAATATAGGTGCAAATCCAAATATCCAAAGGGGTGGGGGACCACAAGAACCCCAAATACCCAATCCGAGAATGAATTTTTCCCCTCCCGTGAATGAGGGGAATAATTTTCAAATGAATCCCCTGGTGAGGTCAATGAGGGATTTTCTACAACCAACACGAAGCACCACACCA